ATATATATAATATATATATATATAATATATATATAGTATATATATATATATATATATATATATATATATATATATATATATATATATATATATATATATATATATATATATATATATATATATATATATATATATATATATATATATATATATATATATATATATATATATATATATATATATATATATATATATATATATATATATATATATATATATATATATATATATATATATATATATATATATATATATATATACGTCTACGTCACACACTGAAACACTGAAAAATCATTGTTGCATTGAACGGTTTTAAATGACATGAATGGCCACAATTTGAATACAGGGAGTTTAAAATGCGAAACATTCTCCTATGTACTCATAGCTCGACCATAAAGTAGGATGGGCTATTATAAAATTGTCTCAGTCTATGGCTGAGGTTTGTTTAAATCTACTGCCACTCTGATATAGTTTTCGAGTATTTAAATTAAAAAAAATCAAATTATCAATAAGCTTACTTGCGCAGAAAAGAAAATTAAACAACTATTGCTAATGACCACTTGCTACTACCTGCTGCTGACATCTTGCTAAAATAAACCATAACAAAACGGTCTAACTACTTTTACTCTTTTGGATATTATGTCTTTGAATAGGTCACCTGAAGTTAAGAACAAAACATCTGGGTCTGATAAAACACAGAATACGTTGCTAATCTGGTAAAACAAAAAGACTTTTTCTATTCCCGTCTGTAAAATATCTAATTATACACCGATCTAACGTGCGGGAAGCATCACTTTACCACATCAGTTTTGTTTCCCACCGATCCGAGTCACTTCGGATATTTCCGGGATTTTACCACACGGGTTTGGGAGCAATCGGATGATTTCGGAGGTATTTCCCACGCCTTGAATTTGTGACGTTTGTCAATTCTGACGGTCATTCATGTTGTTTTGCGAAAATGTACCCAAAAATTAACGGTCGCAGAAAAAATATAGTATGCAACACGTTCGGTAATTTTTTTTCTACTCCCGTCTGTAAAATACCTAACTACACACCGATGTAGCGTGCGGGAAGCCGCACTTTACCACGTCAGTTTTGTTTCCCACGAATCCGAGTTACTTCGGACATTTCCGGGATTTTACCGCATGGGTTTGGGAACGATCGGATGCTTTCGGAGATATTTCCCACGCTTTAAATTTTGACGTTTGTCAATTCTGACGGTCATGTCAACGTTGTTTTGCGAAAATGTACGTAAAAACTAACAGTCGTAGAAAAAGTATAGTATGCAATACGTTCCGTAAACTTTTAAAGCCACTCGCTTATTAGAAACTCGTGAGACAAATGCCGTTTACCGCACTTGTTGCATAATTACTACAACCGTATTCCATTTTACAGTCAGTTGCAAAATTCAAAGCAAAGCAAGGCGAACCACCCCATACAGTGATAAACTTGAGGAGTCACTATGTCCGTCAGAACTGAAAAACGTCATATCTAGCGAAAACGTTCCTCCCAAACCCGTGACTAAAAAGGTCTAAATTGGCGCGCTTGTATAACTGAATATTGGATAAAAAATTTCTAGATAGTATTCCATACTATAGACACGGTTATAAGAACATATATAAAAATACTATAGCTTTTTTAACATTCAAATTAGACCTTTCTCCAAAGTTATATATGTGTACGTGCTCCGATCTCTTTTCTTTTGCATCGTTAGGTTTTCCATTTGGTTCTACTAAAAGCAAGCGACGTTTGTTCAATGTTATTTATTTACAAAAATATAATCACATGTTTAAAACACAACATCATTTAATAATACTTTAATTAGCACATTCTACGAATGTAAGATTTTCTTAGATTTTCTATCCAAAAATCGATCCCAGTATAATTTAATCACACGCCATTAAATAGATCTTTAGGTACTTCGTTCACTCGCAAACGCCCTTCGTCAGTGGCCGATTCGATCCAATATGAAGTTTGAAATTCCGAAATAGTAGTTCGCAGCTTTTGCTGAAAAAAAAAATAATACAGTTTTGCAAAACGGTTTAATGCAATGATTATTTTTTAGGAAATTTTAGAAAAATGTACTTTGTGCAATGATAATGGGTATCAGGGTACCTTCAGGTATAAGGAAGCGAGTAGTAATCATTAGTATCCGATGATTTTGAAGACAATTTTGGAGATGTCATCGGTCTGATTCAGTAACAGTTATGTATAATGCAAGATATCATTACGTGACACACGTGCATTCTTAAGCTGCATCCCAAGACGTTTCTTTATCATATAATATGATTTTGTTATAAAGGATGTTATTATTATATTCTAGCAGAAAAATATAAGTTTAGCTGTGCTGCGCACTGCGAACTTGTATTGACGCAAGGCGCAACATGAAAGACCTTAAGCTGCTGTTTGATCGACTCATTGAGAAAGTGGCACCAGCGAATTCGCGAAAACGACAGAATGATCGATTGCACTGTCAATTATAACGTCAAAAAGAGATGACAGTTTCTTTGTTGATTGGAAATATATTTGTTTAGAATGTGTAATGTATAAAAAAAGGGAACCCAATATTATATACATAACGCCAAATGTTCATTCTGTTAAAATAAAATTCTTCTTAAAATAACATTCTTCAGTAAATTTCATTGTTTGGTACATTGGCGTAAGTATTCTGTAATCCCTTTGCAAACCTAATGAGGTTTTATTACTCTAAACCTTTCTGAAATAGACCTTAAGTATTTAAATCATTAAAATTATTCGGTTAATTTTTACTGCAAAAACTTTTTAAATGAATTAAAGAGATGCAGATAAACTTACAACAGAGTCCTTGATATCTACTCGATTCTGACATTCCGTAGTCCGTACAACTCGGATAACCTCTTTCATAGGGCGCTTGTCCCAACACGTTACCGCTAAAACAGGACAAACTTATTAAACGATTTATGCATTAGTGTGAGCATCCCGCAGCGATGTTTGCAAATACTTTGCCATGCATAAATTGAATAGTAGACAAATTTGCCCCATTGTGGAACACTATTTGACCAAACCGCGCAATTGTTAATAATTGGTAAAATCCACTTACCCGGGCCCATAGTTGCAGACGTAATTTTTCCTGTAACTCTTTGAAGGGTCGTAATAGAACGCGAAGCCGCATCCAATTAAATTAGTTTCTGCCCACAGCATCTAAAATGGTTTGGTCCTAATTAATATTTACCCATTAATCCTCGCGTAGCCGTTGTTATGATAAACCTCGGTAATTTACGTGCGTAAACATATTTTCCAAATGAAAATATTGTCGGTAATAAGACTGATGCTAGAGCGCGCCACGCAAGCAAAAAGGGTTTTACGGTTTTAGTAAGTTTTGTATGTTTTGGGAAACATACTCTCAGAAATATCTTATTCTAGGAACAAACCGCCGTTTTGTCCCAATCGGGAAACACTCTGCCACCATTAGGCATTTTTTATTGTTTTCAGAACTATTATTGTATTTCAAATATTCATATTCCTCAAATACGTAGGCAATTTTATCTATTAAGAAATTATCCGGAGAAAATCTGCATTAACGTCCTTTTATAAATTAGTTCATTATGAAATTGATATTTCTTTTTTCCTAAATAGCACAAGTTTAGAAGTAGCGTTTTTTTATTTAAATAGACCTCGTACCAATGTTGCTGTTAACTCTCCACTATTCGGAATGTGTAGTTTAGCGAACAGTCTAAAAATCGAAATGTTAATTGTACTTCCACCAATATAATCAAACACCACTTGAAAAAATTAGCATTTAAAACCTAAAGTATTGTATTTAGTGTTTAGTGTAAATTTCACTTCGATGCCTATGTATTTGCTTATGGGCTGATGTTTTTTTTTCATTTTATTATTATTATTATAGTTTCATTTGTTTCTCTTTTTGCGATAACGTGCGATTAAAAATAAGCAAGAAAAGAGCAATAAATGACAACTTCAACAGTTTCATTGGAAAAGTCTTCTTCTTTTTCTTTCTGCATTCTTAGTACTGTATAACACTTATTAATCCAAAGGATTTGTTCAGGAAAGCACCATCAAAATCCATCCTGTGGTGTATCTTTTAAAGTAAGAAAGCCATCAAAAAATGTTGCGTCCATAGGCGTGGAAGCTAATTAGAAATTATTAGAGACCGCAATATAGTAATAAGCGAGCGATCCTTATATAATTAATGCATTGAACACAAAATCTCATCTCTAATAAAACAAAAGTACTTTCTTGATAAATAAGATTTGGAACAAACTATTGTCAAATGTCCCGAAACGAGTTACGGAAAATCAGAATTTGCTTCGCAATTGTTCTACACTAAATGATCCTGGTCCATTCCTTTATTTTGTCTATATAAGCGGGTGTATGGCCTGAGCTTTAGTTCAGTTCTATTTGAGCTGCCGAGCTACCTAGTGCCGTCAATCTGCTTTGTTACTTTGTTATTATGTTTTATCTTCCATAATGGCAAGACTACTTGTTTGAAGCCCGCTTGTTGAAAGAATTCAATATAAAGAGGCATAAGTTAGCTAAGCATCCTGTTCTGCATCCACCGACAGGAAGAGTAAGAAAAGTGCAAATAGCTAAGCTTACCGCAAATTTAGAAAAACAACAGCAAATGGTTCATTAACAAAGAAGGAGAATTTACGTGAGAAGTTTGCAATGTTTTGTGTTCTGAAAAGAAAAATGTAATTTGAAAATATGGTAGCTAATGATATAAAAACAACGTTGACTGATAGTAGGGCTGCTTTTGAATTATTTTCCATAGCATTAGACCAGAGCACCCCTTTGTCCGAAACAGCTCACTTGGTAATATTTGTTGATAAAGAGTTCACTGTTATTTCTTATGCAGCCGCTAAAAACAACCACTACTGGAGAAGATATTTTTAATGAAGTTCAAAAAATATTCACGAGTTTTTGCTCGCCATGGTCAAAATTAGTTATAGGGTGCATGTTGTTGAACGAAAAACCAACTCAATGAAATATAGCAAAAGATGATTTGACAGTTCTTTAGATCTTTATCTACCAACAGCACTTGTGTTCTGAATCCATTCGTTTCCAGAATGTTACGAATGTGATAGTCATTAATTTTATTCTATCTCGCTGGCTTAACCATCGTCAGTTCGAGGCCTTTTATAGATGAAATATTAGCCGTGAAGTTAAGTAAAAAGAAAATGCTGAAACGGTTTTAAGACCTTAGAAATAGAGATAGCGGATTTTATGCAAAAACAAGTTGGTTGACCCAAAATGGATATGTGACAGCATTTTTGGTCAACCCTACGGACCATTTGAATGATTTAAATTTAAAACTTCAAAAACAAGGACATTTTGTACAGACATTTGAAAGCGGCTTAGAACAATTTCGCTTGTGGGAGGCACGGATGCTATCAGGTAACATTGACCATTTGACCATGCTCTCTGCTCATGAAAATATTACCTATGCTTAATATGCTGAAGAACTCAAGTTACTGTAGGAGAAATTTTCGACGAGATTTAGCGAAAAATACCTTAAATGAGAGCAGCACTGATAAATGGGAACAGTTTTTTTCTACGGTGAAAATCAATGCATCAATTACGTCTTTGTATCAGTGGAATTATTCCAATCATCGATGGGTTAGTTTCCAAAATTCAAACTCAATTTTCTCATTGATTTCGATGGCGCTATTTAACTTTCGTAGTTGGTAATAATTCGAATTTTACGTTTCAATTATAATGTTGTCATTTTAAAAAATTTTGTTACTAAATTATTTAGGATATTATTATATTATATATAAAATTGTCTCAGTCTATGGCTGAGGTTTGTTTAAATCTACTGCCACTCTGATATAGTTTCGAGTATTTAAATTAAAAAAAATCAAATTATCAATAAGCTTACTTGCGCAGAAAAGAAAATTAAACAACTATTGCTAATGACCACTTGCTACTACCTGCTGCTGACATCTTGCTAAAATAAACCATAACAAAACGGTCTAACTACTTTTACTCTTTTGGATATTATGTCTTTGAATAGGTCACCTGAAGTTAAGAACAAAACATCTGGGTCTGATAAAACACAGAATACGTTGCTAATCTGGTAAAACAAAAAGACTTTTTCTATTCCCGTCTGTAAAATATCTAATTATACACCGATCTAACGTGCGGGAAGCATCACTTTACCACATCAGTTTTGTTTCCCACCGATCCGAGTCACTTCGGATATTTCCGGGATTTTACCACACGGGTTTGGGAGCAATCGGATGATTTCGGAGGTATTTCCCACGCCTTGAATTTGTGACGTTTGTCAATTCTGACGGTCATTCATGTTGTTTTGCGAAAATGTACCCAAAAATTAACGGTCGCAGAAAAAATATAGTATGCAACACGTTCGGTAATTTTTTTTCTACTCCCGTCTGTAAAATACCTAACTACACACCGATGTAGCGTGCGGGAAGCCGCACTTTACCACGTCAGTTTTGTTTCCCACGAATCCGAGTTACTTCGGACATTTCCGGGATTTTACCGCATGGGTTTGGGAACGATCGGATGCTTTCGGAGATATTTCCCACGCTTTAAATTTTGACGTTTGTCAATTCTGACGGTCATGTCAACGTTGTTTTGCGAAAATGTACGTAAAAACTAACAGTCGTAGAAAAAGTATAGTATGCAATACGTTCCGTAAACTTTTAAAGCCACTCGCTTATTAGAAACTCGTGAGACAAATGCCGTTTACCGCACTTGTTGCATAATTACTACAACCGTATTCCATTTTACAGTCAGTTGCAAAATTCAAAGCAAAGCAAGGCGAACCACCCCATACAGTGATAAACTTGAGGAGTCACTATGTCCGTCAGAACTGAAAAACGTCATATCTAGCGAAAACGTTCCTCCCAAACCCGTGACTAAAAAGGTCTAAATTGGCGCGCTTGTATAACTGAATATTGGATAAAAAATTTCTAGATAGTATTCCATACTATAGACACGGTTATAAGAACATATATAAAAATACTATAGCTTTTTTAACATTCAAATTAGACCTTTCTCCAAAGTTATATATGTGTACGTGCTCCGATCTCTTTTCTTTTGCATCGTTAGGTTTTCCATTTGGTTCTACTAAAAGCAAGCGACGTTTGTTCAATGTTATTTATTTACAAAAATATAATCACATGTTTAAAACACAACATCATTTAATAATACTTTAATTAGCACATTCTACGAATGTAAGATTTTCTTAGATTTTCTATCCAAAAATCGATCCCAGTATAATTTAATCACACGCCATTAAATAGATCTTTAGGTACTTCGTTCACTCGCAAACGCCCTTCGTCAGTGGCCGATTCGATCCAATATGAAGTTTGAAATTCCGAAATAGTAGTTCGCAGCTTTTGCTGAAAAAAAAAATAATACAGTTTTGCAAAACGGTTTAATGCAATGATTATTTTTTAGGAAATTTTAGAAAAATGTACTTTGTGCAATGATAATGGGTATCAGGGTACCTTCAGGTATAAGGAAGCGAGTAGTAATCATTAGTATCCGATGATTTTGAAGACAATTTTGGAGATGTCATCGGTCTGATTCAGTAACAGTTATGTATAATGCAAGATATCATTACGTGACACACGTGCATTCTTAAGCTGCATCCCAAGACGTTTCTTTATCATATAATATGATTTTGTTATAAAGGATGTTATTATTATATTCTAGCAGAAAAATATAAGTTTAGCTGTGCTGCGCACTGCGAACTTGTATTGACGCAAGGCGCAACATGAAAGACCTTAAGCTGCTGTTTGATCGACTCATTGAGAAAGTGGCACCAGCGAATTCGCGAAAACGACAGAATGATCGATTGCACTGTCAATTATAACGTCAAAAAGAGATGACAGTTTCTTTGTTGATTGGAAATATATTTGTTTAGAATGTGTAATGTATAAAAAAAGGGAACCCAATATTATATACATAACGCCAAATGTTCATTCTGTTAAAATAAAATTCTTCTTAAAATAACATTCTTCAGTAAATTTCATTGTTTGGTACATTGGCGTAAGTATTCTGTAATCCCTTTGCAAACCTAATGAGGTTTTATTACTCTAAACCTTTCTGAAATAGACCTTAAGTATTTAAATCATTAAAATTATTCGGTTAATTTTTACTGCAAAAACTTTTTAAATGAATTAAAGAGATGCAGATAAACTTACAACAGAGTCCTTGATATCTACTCGATTCTGACATTCCGTAGTCCGTACAACTCGGATAACCTCTTTCATAGGGCGCTTGTCCCAACACGTTACCGCTAAAACAGGACAAACTTATTAAACGATTTATGCATTAGTGTGAGCATCCCGCAGCGATGTTTGCAAATACTTTGCCATGCATAAATTGAATAGTAGACAAATTTGCCCCATTGTGGAACACTATTTGACCAAACCGCGCAATTGTTAATAATTGGTAAAATCCACTTACCCGGGCCCATAGTTGCAGACGTAATTTTTCCTGTAACTCTTTGAAGGGTCGTAATAGAACGCGAAGCCGCATCCAATTAAATTAGTTTCTGCCCACAGCATCTAAAATGGTTTGGTCCTAATTAATATTTACCCATTAATCCTCGCGTAGCCGTTGTTATGATAAACCTCGGTAATTTACGTGCGTAAACATATTTTCCAAATGAAAATATTGTCGGTAATAAGACTGATGCTAGAGCGCGCCACGCAAGCAAAAAGGGTTTTACGGTTTTAGTAAGTTTTGTATGTTTTGGGAAACATACTCTCAGAAATATCTTATTCTAGGAACAAACCGCCGTTTTGTCCCAATCGGGAAACACTCTGCCACCATTAGGCATTTTTTATTGTTTTCAGAACTATTATTGTATTTCAAATATTCATATTCCTCAAATACGTAGGCAATTTTATCTATTAAGAAATTATCCGGAGAAAATCTGCATTAACGTCCTTTTATAAATTAGTTCATTATGAAATTGATATTTCTTTTTTCCTAAATAGCACAAGTTTAGAAGTAGCGTTTTTTTATTTAAATAGACCTCGTACCAATGTTGCTGTTAACTCTCCACTATTCGGAATGTGTAGTTTAGCGAACAGTCTAAAAATCGAAATGTTAATTGTACTTCCACCAATATAATCAAACACCACTTGAAAAAATTAGCATTTAAAACCTAAAGTATTGTATTTAGTGTTTAGTGTAAATTTCACTTCGATGCCTATGTATTTGCTTATGGGCTGATGTTTTTTTTTCATTTTATTATTATTATTATAGTTTCATTTGTTTCTCTTTTTGCGATAACGTGCGATTAAAAATAAGCAAGAAAAGAGCAATAAATGACAACTTCAACAGTTTCATTGGAAAAGTCTTCTTCTTTTTCTTTCTGCATTCTTAGTACTGTATAACACTTATTAATCCAAAGGATTTGTTCAGGAAAGCACCATCAAAATCCATCCTGTGGTGTATCTTTTAAAGTAAGAAAGCCATCAAAAAATGTTGCGTCCATAGGCGTGGAAGCTAATTAGAAATTATTAGAGACCGCAATATAGTAATAAGCGAGCGATCCTTATATAATTAATGCATTGAACACAAAATCTCATCTCTAATAAAACAAAAGTACTTTCTTGATAAATAAGATTTGGAACAAACTATTGTCAAATGTCCCGAAACGAGTTACGGAAAATCAGAATTTGCTTCGCAATTGTTCTACACTAAATGATCCTGGTCCATTCCTTTATTTTGTCTATATAAGCGGGTGTATGGCCTGAGCTTTAGTTCAGTTCTATTTGAGCTGCCGAGCTACCTAGTGCCGTCAATCTGCTTTGTTACTTTGTTATTATGTTTTATCTTCCATAATGGCAAGACTACTTGTTTGAAGCCCGCTTGTTGAAAGAATTCAATATAAAGAGGCATAAGTTAGCTAAGCATCCTGTTCTGCATCCACCGACAGGAAGAGTAAGAAAAGTGCAAATAGCTAAGCTTACCGCAAATTTAGAAAAACAACAGCAAATGGTTCATTAACAAAGAAGGAGAATTTACGTGAGAAGTTTGCAATGTTTTGTGTTCTGAAAAGAAAAATGTAATTTGAAAATATGGTAGCTAATGATATAAAAACAACGTTGACTGATAGTAGGGCTGCTTTTGAATTATTTTCCATAGCATTAGACCAGAGCACCCCTTTGTCCGAAACAGCTCACTTGGTAATATTTGTTGATAAAGAGTTCACTGTTATTTCTTATGCAGCCGCTAAAAACAACCACTACTGGAGAAGATATTTTTAATGAAGTTCAAAAAATATTCACGAGTTTTTGCTCGCCATGGTCAAAATTAGTTATAGGGTGCATGTTGTTGAACGAAAAACCAACTCAATGAAATATAGCAAAAGATGATTTGACAGTTCTTTAGATCTTTATCTACCAACAGCACTTGTGTTCTGAATCCATTCGTTTCCAGAATGTTACGAATGTGATAGTCATTAATTTTATTCTATCTCGCTGGCTTAACCATCGTCAGTTCGAGGCCTTTTATAGATGAAATATTAGCCGTGAAGTTAAGTAAAAAGAAAATGCTGAAACGGTTTTAAGACCTTAGAAATAGAGATAGCGGATTTTATGCAAAAACAAGTTGGTTGACCCAAAATGGATATGTGACAGCATTTTTGGTCAACCCTACGGACCATTTGAATGATTTAAATTTAAAACTTCAAAAACAAGGACATTTTGTACAGACATTTGAAAGCGGCTTAGAACAATTTCGCTTGTGGGAGGCACGGATGCTATCAGGTAACATTGACCATTTGACCATGCTCTCTGCTCATGAAAATATTACCTATGCTTAATATGCTGAAGAACTCAAGTTACTGTAGGAGAAATTTTCGACGAGATTTAGCGAAAAATACCTTAAATGAGAGCAGCACTGATAAATGGGAACAGTTTTTTTCTACGGTGAAAATCAATGCATCAATTACGTCTTTGTATCAGTGGAATTATTCCAATCATCGATGGGTTAGTTTCCAAAATTCAAACTCAATTTTCTCATTGATTTCGATGGCGCTATTTAACTTTCGTAGTTGGTAATAATTCGAATTTTACGTTTCAATTATAATGTTGTCATTTTAAAAAATTTTGTTACTAAATTATTTAGGATATTATTATAAATTATTATTTTATAACAAAATGTCATGTTCTCCTTTTAAACGCGGCAAAACTTGTCCAATATATTCAAACAAAAAAAATTGAGAGTTCATTGGAATGTGACTCCAAGAATAGCACGTAATGCAGTGATGCTTTCATGAATCTACCGACAGTCCGCGCAGATGAAGCAATACTGTTGTTTTAAAACAGGATGTTTAATTAATAATAAATAAATAATAAATAGTCCGATTTTCAGTTTTGTGATGGTATATTTTGTGCAAAGTCCTAATTTCAATAAATTACGGCCATAAAATGGTGGTGAAATAGTGAGCAACATGTAAAATTTTAGTTGTTTCGCACAAATAACGACCTGTTATATATTTCCTTTGTAAAAACCCTCAAATATAGTTTTACTTCTCCGCACCTTTTAGAAACAGATGTTAAAAATTAATTATTTAATCAATTCCAGTGCTTCGCCAATAAAAGTGAAAAGTTTGAGTATTTGACATATGCCGGGGAATTATTTATTTAAATTTGAATTAATTTAAAATTATTATTACGCAGGGGTTTCGGCTTAACCGTTGGAACAGAATTAATTTCCAAATCTTAAACGTACCTGCGTATAGTGTCCGGTTTTTCCTCGTCCGATGCCGCCAAAGTTGAAATATTTGTATTCATTGAACCATTTGTGAATTGCGTCCGGAAAATCCGAGTCTATATCCGCATACGAGGATGGCGGTTTTGTCGTCCATGTCGTCGCTATGTTTTGTCCAACGGGAAATCTCGCTAAAATCAAGAAGGACCGATATGTAAATTTCAAGGAAATATCGAACTTTTCAATAGGCGTCCCACCTTAGACGTGGACGAATTTTCTATGGATGTTTTCCCGGCGTGAATCGTACTGTAAGAGATACGTTACGTAGGTTTTTTCGAAAATATCGAAGAAATGGTGCCAATAAAAATGACATTGTGACGTCATTTTACAGAGACTTCACATTCAGTGAATCACAACATTGCAATTTAAGAAGTTACAAGTTATCTGTTAGAAAACCTGGTGGCTTTCACGTTATAATTTTAATAATCATGAATAGTTTTGGGGAGAAAGACAAAGTCGCGAAAAACAATGTTTTGGGTCCATCGTAGCTACATCATGCGCACATCCGTTCCGACTTTCAGCGCCCAATAAACTTAGTTGATCCAAAAAATAAGTTTGGGGATTCATTACATGCAGAAGATAATTGTGTGCAAAGTATATGACGCACTAACAGATTGGCAATACGTCATGTTTTTTGCTTCACTTTAAATAACGGGCTAAGGGACTTGTACAACTCTTTTCAATTTTCAGTAAAAATGATGTTGAAAGTATCCAAGGAATATTACAACAGGGCTAGAAAAATCATCAACTTACGAGGAAAAACAAATTCATGGCCATTATAGAGCTCGCACGACCTGTCTTCACATATAGTTTTGACATTCTGGACTCGAACGATAAGGAAATAACAAGTATCGATCGAAAAGCCTGGAAGGCGGACATAGATGTCCTGAACGTCTTAAATTTTGAGATACAGGGTGGTAAAATTTTCGAAAATAAAATATGTTAAATATTTGTAATACCACTTTGGATATTTTAATGAAATTTGGTGCACATGTATTATGTATCAAGAGGCAATATCTATATCTATATATCAGTGGCTTACTTAGGGATTTTATCTGCCTGTTTTGGTAGACATTAATGGTATGGCACTGATTTCTCTTAAAATAAAAATTATTCTTACAATCTCCGATTATTTACAAAGAAATTTTTTCTCTTTATTTGTTTTAATCCGATATACGGTTTTCGCTTGAAAAAATAAAATGCTCTTTTCTGCATGGTCATAACAATATCGTTCATATGACAGGATTCAGAGAAATTAGTTTTTATTTTTAATTGAGAAACTGTGAGACTGACTAAAAAGAAGAGATCAAATCGGCTTATAAATGAATGCAAATTACTTTTTTTAAGGAAATCAGTCTCGCGCCACTGTCTATGAACAAATAATATTTTAATTAGGTCGCCACTGCACTATTTAAATCGAGTACTTTTTTTTAAATTAAAATTTCTAACGAAAACAAAATAGAGAGTTTTTAGTTACCAACTAGTGTCCTTCAGGAAAAAAATATTAGAAGACTTCTTTTTTACTTTTACAGTTTTAATGAAATAACATAACATCCTAACAGCAAGATAAAAAATAAACGATTTTATTATTTTATTTATTTATGTTTACGTACTTCGTATAACTGATAGACAATTTCTTAAGTAAGAAGTAATAATGATAATTATTCTCTGCATGCTGTCATATTAACGATATTGTTATGAGCATGCAGTGAAGAGGTTTTTATTTTTTTAAGCGAAAACCGTACATCGGATCGAAAAAAAAAACAAAAAAATAAATTTCTTTAGAAATGACTAGAGGTTATAGAAATAATTTTTATTTTAAGAAAAATCAATGGTGTACCATCAATATCGGCCAAAACAGACAGGAGACATTTAGTACCGCTCGCCACTAGTGTATTTAAAAAAAAGTGGTACACTAAATAATGTATACATATTATGTGTGTACTAAATTTCGTTAAAATATCTAGAGTACTATTACAGATATTAAAAAAATATATCTTTTCCTTTTTGAAACTTTACCACCCTCATATGGATCTCAAGTTCTCTTTTTGGAATAAACCCAAAAATCACCCCCTTAACTATTGACATTCAATTAGAAACCACCCTGTATACAGCCAGAGAACGCGAAGGAAGATAATTTGATAATTATACGGATTTTAAACTACTTATGGGAAAAAAAAGATGACAGGCTTGCGGTGTTAATAAACCATAAAGAAATCGAGAGAAAAGAACACACTGATGAACAAATGCCAAAAACCTCTTTAAAAGAAAACTGCAACGATGTATTACTATTATTATTTATGTATTCTGTTATATTTTATGTTATTAGCCCATATATTCAGGAATAAAGTTATATTTGAAAGCCTTTTCATACGTTGCATATTAACTTTTAAGGCATTGTTCCGAGTATCACAGTTTAGAAAATGATGTTCTTTTTCGGGGAATATTCAGTGTTAAATTTTTTTATCAAATAAAATTGTCATATTTCGCAAAATGTTACTCCTATTTTTTTTTAAATCAGACACACCGTATATTTTCGCATTTTAGGATAGATTTTTAAAAGATGAATCGAACGATATATTAACGCAATTAATTTATTAATTAAATTTCTTAGCTTTGTGGCTTCATTCTGAAAGCGACTCTAATATTTTTTAAGAAATTACCAGTTATTTCAAATACCGCTAAATATTCCAAAAACTATTGAATGTAAATGTATATTATTTTTATTTAATCAGTGAGGTGTTTTCAAAAAACCATTAGGAGACTTTGAAAGAATTGCTTTTCCTCGTTGTCATAGCAATATTAATAATTTATGACGGCATAATTCTATTCTTACGTTTTTCTTTACAAACATTTTTTCTCATTTGAAAATGTATAGAATAGAAGAAAAAGTTAAGAATAAAAATAATAATCTATAATTTTCGCAGTATATTAAATAAATAATTATAGATACAGCAAAAATATTAGAGGCGCTTTGACAAAACTTAGCAATAAGTCCAAAATGGTGCATTGCAGATCAAAGTTGGATTCGTATTTTAAATGGCTATCCGAATATGCAAAAATGTACAGGGTGTTTGATTTTAGAAAAACATTGCAACACCGAGTATTTGATAAAAATATTTCAATTTTGTAACCTAACCTGAATCTGAAAGATACTCGTTACTAATGATGATATATGGATATTTATATACTTCGTTGAATTCGCCTTTTACAGGGGTATTTAAAAATGTAATAAAATATAGGGTATTCCATTATAAAAAATGTAACTTTATTTGACTATCCTGCATGTAACTGTAATACCAAAAAATATAATTTTACTAGAAACAACTTTGTATAACACATATAGATTTAGAGATGTACATCAATGGGATGGACGATGAGGATGCATGTGCTTGCTTCTTTAAGTTTATCTGGAACAGCCTGTCTATCTCTTTCGTCAAAAATCTCAATCTGGCATACTGTTTTTTTTTTATAACTTTTATAAACTCTTTTATAAATATGTCACAGAGATTAATGTTTGAAAAAAGTCCATGAAGCAAATATTTTGAAGCGCTGAGATAAAGTTGGCAATGTTGGATATAGCTTAAGAAATTTAAGTCATTATCCCGTTAAAAAAATGTTTTCATCACAACAAAGGGAATTTTATGAATAACTTATGCGGTTCTTTTTAGCGAAAAAAGTCTGTGCCAATCGCATTTTTTTTGTTAAAAAGTTAATGCAAATTTGGAACCTATATTTTATTTAAAGTAAGTCAGATGTGGTGTTTTGAATTTTCCAAGTCATGATATATGGAATAACGCATCATTTCTCATAATATGTTTGATACGTTGTAATAAAACTCATCCATAATTAATCAAAGATTTTTGGAAATGGCACACAAATTTTGGCGACACTTTTAACAATCAAAATTGTGTCTTCTTCTTTTTAAACCTTTGCCCGACTCATAAAACATAGTTCTTTACATTTCCGAAAATATCTGTTTCTTGGTCTGTCAATTGATTAAAGCGTTATTTCATTTTACGTTATAATATATAAGACTTTTTCTCTTACATCTGCAAGTTGGAATTATGCAATTCCACAATATATTTAGAGAAACAAATTTTGGTATACAAATCCAGAAGGTTTTTTAATTTAATTTTTAATATCTTTATATTTTTAACAGTTTTCGATATATTAATTAATTTAGTTCGTAAAGATTGACTTAAAACACAACGTTTACAATCTATACGTTTTACTGAGTTTGAACTCGAAAAGCGCACAAGCAAAAGTTAAATTGTAACACTTGATGTTCCTTCATTCATCTTGACATTCGGCTACCTACTTTCAGCTGCTAATTTGCGTTGCTATAGTGGCGCCACGATAAAATCACTATTTGCTAGTTTATTGAATAACACGTATTACGGACCCCTAAATAAATAACAGGGAAATAATAAATTTTTAGTAAACAAAGCCGCTGTTTGCATTACCGGTATTTAGTAACGTTGCAACGCAACCGAAAAAGCAACATGCGACTGTGTACGTTTGAGTTTTGCGGCGCCAAATGAACGTTCAGGAAATACAATTCCGAATTATTTGAGCTTCGTCAATACAATGTTCGAGGTAGAGAGCGATATATGACACGGCTAGTTATGTACGAATTTATTCTACTGATGTATTGTGCTTACATTTTTTGTATTAAAATTAACGTTATCGCATATTAAATTGAACGCACTGTATATTATTCAAATTTTCGTTCCTCGGCAACTTTTTATAAACTGTTGTATAAAGTGAATGAAATCTCTCCATTTTTAGGGGTTTTCGAGAAATTATTTATTTTCGTAAGTTCTCTGTAAACAAATTAACGTTACAATATGCAGAGGATTATACCGGAGCATACAAAAATAATTTCAGTCGTCAACTGTCAAATTTGTAAACTATAGTCAAAATTTCAGATCTCAGTTAATTCAAATGTGGCTGCAATAAAAATTTAATTACGGAAAATAATATATTCCTCGAAAAAAACTAAAGAGAAGTACACTGAGCTATAATAAAAACTTTACTTAGTTACTTACTCTATCGGTGTACTTGTATTTGATTTTTGCCCTTTGTTTATTGATATTATCATATATTTTCTTTTACTTAAGGAAGCTTATTCTTAGTGGGAACTAGTCTAACCAAAATTGTTTACAAAAATAATTACATATACAGTGTGTCCCACTTAAGTACTGTACGCCCTTGTGAAATGTTTGTTTATGGATCGATTTTGAGAAATTTTTGTTGTTGGATAGGTCTCTGAAAAATGCACTAAAACCTTGTTTTGTTTTGTACTATTTGAGATTAACTATACTAATTTCGGTGAAGTTTGAGTACAGGGTGCTCGAAATATTGCAGGCAAAATAAATAAGAACTAAAAGGGAGAACCCAGTGAAAAAGTTTCAAAACATTTGTCAATATGTAGTTTAAAAATAACTTTCAGAACTAACAACGCAATAGGAAATTAAAAAAAAAAACAATAAACGAAATGTCCAAAATCTCAAAAATCACGTGTCTACAGATTGAAATGCGAATCTTGACCTAAAATTTACAACAAACAGGTAGATGCTTCAAGAAACGCATTACCGAACATAAAGGAGCGTTTAAAAACAATGATCTAGATTCTACATATGCTACACACTTAAACACAGAAAGACGCAAGATTAATTAAGGTTTTATTGTCATTTTTCGGTATGTATAGTAGCAGGTAGTTTGCAAATATTACGTTTGATAAAGACACGGTGTTGTCGAAACAATTGTCATGTCAAAATATATAATTTCGTGAAAATCTGAACTATTAGTTTTTAATTATTTTGTTAAATGGAGTTTCATCAAGTAAAAGCCACCTACAAATAGTTAGTAGGTTGCATAAAAAGACCTACGATTTTACCACATTGCTAATTTTTAAATACCCGTCAATAAATAAGAAATATATTTGCGATCGAATTTGAAAAACTGGTCTTCGTATCTGGATGTCTATTGTTATAATTTGTTATAATTAAATTTTGATTCAAATTACTTACAATTGTGTCGTTCCTCATCATGTCGCTCTGAATGACAGGATGACGCCCACCACTGCGCTCTGTTTGCAAGTTCTTCATCCCACTCCTGAAATAATAGTTTCGTTGAAATCAACTCATGAAAAAAATGCTTAATAAAAAAATGAGTCGAAAATTGATTTTTTTTATGTTTGAAGGCTAACGCTGAATAATAATTTGTTAAAACACAAACCATTTCCATCATATTAGAGGCGGGCGGTTGTCCTCCGATTTGCCCCAGCGCCACTTTTTGTCGCATCTTGTTGTGTGTGTCCAAAATGAGTTGTTTCTCTTGCGAAGTTACCCCATTTGCCCCTGTTAAGTAAAATTAGCTTAGTTAAAGCGAGTTGATAATTCTAATGTGGGTCACACTTGTCTAATTACGGTTTAGTCGTGACATGGGTTTAGAAAATGATGAACACGCTCTGTGTGCAAGGCGATAATAATAACTACAGGTACTTGATGACGGCTGCAATGTTCAATCGATTCTGCTCAAATTTATTCGGTTGTTTAATTATTGTATTGTTTAAGGCGTGATTTTGCTGTTGGATAGAAACTAATTGACCCTAGCAAAACCGCCAACAATATCATCTACTCTTGTTAATAAAGTCAAATGTAGGGTTACTTTTATTTTTGTATAGTTTTAAGTCACCAGTTCTTTTAGATTGTGCTTGTCTCCCAATAAAATACTAAGGAGAAATTATTGCTTTAGTAGTACGAACTTTTACTACATCTTGCTTGCTTACTAGTGGTTGTAAATAAACTGGCTTTAAATCTACCTTAACTTAAATATTATCTTGAGCCTATTTAGTTTTAAGGAAGTGTTTAAAGTCTTTTTGTTTTAAATAAGTGGTATTCTATTGTTAAAGTTGCATCTGTACCCACAATAATACCCGGTGGTCAACCAGCATATACCATCTGCAGAAATTCGTTTTGGTATACCAATTTTAAATAGACAAATTGTCGTGGGGGAAAATCCAACCTCATATAGTTTCGAGACCCAAAAGACTTTTCTACTTGCCTGTGACAGGAACAAATATTTCTAGTGCTCTATGGCTTTTGTATATCAAAATAAAATGAAACATTAATTAATAAAACAAAATAAATAATTCACAATTATTGGCAAGAATACTGTGCCTGAATGAGCTAGAACATTTATTTCTTCAAAGCAGATCCATAAAATTCCTTTAAAACTTACTCAAGATTGTCCTCTGGCATCCGTACACTTTCGATATTGCTGATATGCAAAGTAGAAGTGTCAGGGTCCAGGTCATTGCTCTACTAGTTTTTCTGAAAATAAAATCGAGCATTATTAATGCTATTAAGACCATGTTTGTTTAACATAACAAGTCAAAATTCATTTTTTGATTTTTTTTTGGATTCACTTTATAATATTTGTGTTAAGGAATTGTTAAAAAATTTGAAACTGAAATTTCTCTAACTATTATTTAGTGATGAAGTCTCATTCACCCGAAACGGTATCAATACATTGTTGGGCCACTTGAAAATCCACTACAATCTCTGGAATCCCATTTTTAAGATAGATTTTCAGTGAATATTTATTTGATGTGGCATTATTGATGACCGCTTCATTGGCCCGGTTATAATTGAAGAACGTCTCACAGCCATTCGTTATTTACGTTTCATTGAAAATTATCTTTCAATATTACTGGATGATGTTCCTCTTGTCAATTTGGTCGACAGAATTTCTTAATCAAAATTATACAAACCGGTCGATTGGAAGAGAACAACTCTTTTAATAGGAGAGACTGAAAACTTTAGTTTATGCAGAAAGTAATGAATACAGAAAACAACTGGTAGCTAGAATTATGGATGCGACAGAAAATATTCCTGCTGATCCTGAAACTGTTAGCAGAGCTACCACTCGAATTCTAAGAAGAGCTAGACTACGTATATAGTAACTGGTTGGACATTTTGAACAACTAGTTGAGTACAATAAAATATAAATAAATAAAAAATGATAAAATGAAAAATAAAGAGATAGTCTAGAAATTCTTTTAAACGTGCAAATTTAGATAATAAACTACGATTTTTTCTAGTTACTTCATGAGCATGAGGATCCCATGGCGATGCAGAGTTAGCTTCGATAAGACCTTTATAAATGCCTTATAGGATAAAACAGGATTTATCAAAATTAATGCGTTCTAAGATCTGCGTTATAACACTGTGAAATGAACGTAACCTAACATATTTGCACTAAGATATTTCAATTTGTGGAATGACAAATTGAGTTTAAGTGACAACTATTAAAATGAATTGTCAGTGGAAAAAAAATTCATAAACGACATTAACAAATCGACATCCAGCTAGAGTCAGAAGCGGGTTCTGGATGATGTTGGTACTTTTTTAATTTTTTGGGGCCAACTCATGAAAACGATGTAGAGTTCTTTGTTCCCTTTCCCCACAATTTCCACTATTTTAAACATTTTTTAAATAATGAAAATCTATCTCAGACAACACAGTTAAACATTCACTTTGCGGTTGGGATACAGGAGAAATGGTATACATAAATAAAAGTTGTATTGCTCCGCTAGTCGCACGTTAAACAAGCGAATGATGCAATGATATGAGGTGATATGTCAAATATCTTACTCCACCACCGCCTGTAGAGGGCGCGTTGGAGAGTTTTCGTAAGTTAAAAGAACATTTTACATACTTTCTTGTTGACACATTTTTAGGCGTAAAGTCTACAAAGACTGGTTCGGTTACTTAATAGTTATTTTGTATTTGTATATGAGATTTTCATTGAACGAAATTTGTATAAGTCGATAATGTTCTACATATTGCATTAAATGTAACTTGGAGATTCTATTGTATTCTCCTTAATTTATAACTTGTTTCAACCTAATAATAATTTCTATGAAGAACAAATGAGTTTTAGTTAGAAGTGTCGTATCTGTGCTAATATAGAGGTAAACCGCTCATTCTATAACCATTAGTTTCCGTTTTAGTAAGGTTAAAAGTACAGCTTAATTATTTCGAAATGCTAAAACCCTTTTCTTAAAATAGGTAGTCAATAGTTAGTTCGGGTCGAATAGATCTGGCAATCTCTACTTTTAGCGAATCTCAAAATATTATTACTCTGTAAAAATTATTTGTTTAACGCATAAATAGTATTCTTTAGACAACAGTTTTGGATATGAATAAAATAGTTGTATCTATTAGATATCACCATGTTTAAATTAGGAATTCTTGTGTCGCATATAGCCGCTATTGTGCATTTGTGTTGGGAACATATGATACTAATGATGGTATGTCATCACTAGTTTCATTCCTTTGCCAAAGATATATCAGTAAAATTTCGTGCGCCACTTTAGTGTTTCTGCTATTTTTACGTGTCTCTAATAATCTTCATTAAGATATAACAGGATTTCTTAAACCACTAAGTAATAAAATATTTTCATTGTGCTCACAATAAAAGCATTATAAAAATATATAATGCCCTATACAAACATTTTGTAACACTTTTATAATGCTACTATAATTCCATTTCATAGAGTTGAATATGTGACGCATTTTAGCCGACATGTTTAAATCTGTATAGCACAGTCGCTCTCAAATAGAACTGTTTTGCTACCAAATTGTTATGTAAAAATGGGCCATTTTAAGTTGTATATAGACTATTAAATCGTTTTGTAGAAGGTTACAAAAATTTCAGTATCCCATATGATATATCTTACAGTTATGTATACAAACCCTATAAAAATTATTTTGCTACTTGGGTAATATGTTGAATAAAGTATTTCTTTATTTTTTTATACATACAGTAATACCTGCACGTGCCTAATTGTCCAGACTTATGTCGTCGCAGAAGATTAGATGTTAGTGTAAATGACAATAAAGAGTAATAACTAATAAAATAATAATAATAATAATAATAATAATAATAATAAAAGGTTTGAAAACATTGAAACCCCGTCCAAAAAAAAAAAAAGAAAAATTATACCAGTACAAAAAAAAATTAAGGCACCCCAATTACTAATATCGAGAAGGATAAGATAACTTGAAAAGTGTTATTAGTTCACTGATAAGAGTTTAACATAGCCATAGTTCCGAATTCAAACAGACGCACAAAGGCTTGTTCATTCAATTCGAAATAACTTTGAAACAATTTTTTAAATCATTGTTTTTCTGTAATGTTTCGTAAATTAGCAGGTATTACATTATGTCTTTTGGTACCGATATATGATACAAAATGTTGTATCCTGTTTGCACAATATGTAGTTTTAAATAGATTATTTAAATTTATTCTCGTGTTGTAATTATGACAAATAAAATTGTTAAGTTTTTAATTTGCGTTGGACAAAACTACATGCAGTTATTATATATAAACTCCTAATTTTAAGTATATCCCCAAGAGATTCGTTGGATATAGTATTGGTTTTTCTAGAAAAGTGCGCAATATATAGTTCTGTGTTACCTTTAGATGGTCTACATGACAGTTCTGTGCTCCTCCGTACATAATATTCCGCATAGGCAAAGAAAATGTTGATCCCATTTTAAATAGTTATCTGTCACTACACCGTTACATTGTCCACAAGAATTTCATTATAATAATTCCGACAAAGAATAGGTAATATATTGTGCGAATCGAAGATATTATTTAGCCTTTTCTCTGACTTAGTAGATAGATAATATTAAATATTTTTAATAATATTGAAAAAATACTTGAAAAAAGATAATTTTCACGATAAACCAAAGTATTGTCAAACAGGTTTATGGTGAGCGTGAAAACTTTTGGTCGTATTAAATCGAATAATGAATTAAGTAAAATAAAATATATATAAATAGCGACGCTTAAAAACGATTTTTTTGAAACCACGTTCCCTGAAATCCGCTTCCGTTTGTTATTCCATGTTTACCACGCGATTTAAAAGAGACCGCTTCGCAAACCCCGCAGCTATATGCACAAATAAAAAATTAAAATACTAGGTGAACGTTTCATTAACTCGGCCTTTTAAAACTCCGGAAAATTCGCGCTTTAATCGCAACAATTTTCACCCCCGGAACGAAAACGAAAAACAAACCAAACGAGGCTCGAGCAGCGCTAATTTATTTTCATGATTTACTTAATCGAAAATAAATGTACCCGACTGTTTTAAAGCATTCATCATTGTCAAGTTGGCCAGTCTGGCAATTGATTCTGGCCCGGTTTCAATTCTATAGAGATGCTACTGCCAGAAGTTTTTTTTTGTTTGCGAGCGAGAGACGATGCGATGGCAAACGACCGGTGAATGTGAAGTTTTCCTTTTAAAATAGATTTGTCAGTCCAGATTTTGCCGGGATTTATTTTATGGGCGGATTTTCACTAAATAGAGAATCTTTTGTTTTTGGATGTATATACCAAATAACGTTGAAGAGAAGCGATGCAACTTTATTTATAATGTAAAACGTATGTTTCAGCAGGATAGAGTATTATCATATGGTAACTGTATTTGTTCCGTAATCTTGAAGTTGTTTTCACTTGTTACCAAGAAAAACGAAATCATAGAAATTATCGGAACACATCGGAATAAATAAATGAATAATCGACTTTATTCTTCAGTTTTTTGAGCCACACAATTTACCAACAAGCTAGGCGAAGTATAGTCAATAGCTACTCTGAAAAATCATTTGGCACAGCTACTACGTAAGAAAAATAGCATTCTATAATAATTCTAAGCATCCTATAATAATTTTTCAAAGAAACTTCTACAGGCTGCTGTAATACTTTTTACAAATCTTCGGGATTCCTCTCGTTGACGCCAATTATCTTGTTGGCTTCTTCAGAGCTAAACTGAAAATGACTCGCATTGTCTCGGATGACTGATTCCCATATTGGTGAGCTGAGTCGCGGTTAAGATTGTTTGGTTGCATATAAAATTTTGGTTTCGTCGAATAAGATTTGTTGTGGGGTTTCGCGATTGTGTTCGGTAACTGCTGATGGGTTTGAGTTTGATGTTGTCGTAGTCTTACGGCTCTTTCATGTTCATTAAGCCTAGTTGATATTCTTCGTCCGATCTCTACATGTATTCTGTGCCGCATATCGAAGATGTTGAGAGATTTTTGGACAAGTGATAAACCTGGTTTTGACGAGATATTTCTCAACATTTTTTGATATGTCGTTAACTATGTTTTGAATGTAAGAATGGACAACAGTGGCAAGTGGCAATCGTTATTGGAAGGTTTTGGCGAAGTGTATTTTGCAATGGAACGCTTAAAAATCTCTAATGTCGAAATTATTGGAGAGAACAACATATGTGAGGTGTTTTAATTTTGGGTTCAGTGAC